AGGAAGAGGACCTACAGCACATCTGGATATGCGAGGCGGCGAGGAAGATTATAAGAAAAGAATGGGTAAAGGCTGTGGACGACTAGAGAGGAGAGACTAGGGGAGAAGAGTTAATAAGAAAACTGGAAAAAGTGCTTGAGGGAAAGATAGATCATGGTACGAGTCAATGTGTAAGGGTTTTCGAGAAGATAATTGAAAGAAACAAGAAATCTGAGAATAAGAAATAAATGAGAGACTAATAGTTTACAGGTCAAGACAGGGAACTAAGGAAATTGAAGGGGAGAAGAAAGTTAAGAAAGAAGAGGATGAGGACAGTTTAAAGGAAGTATTGCGGACCAAAGAATAATATTAATATTAGCTCGCGGAAATTTATGTACGAATGTAGGACAGTTGATGTAATGAGGTTGTGTTATATGTTGTGGTGAAGTAAGCTATTAATGTGTACTTATCAAAAATAAAATTATAATAATAATTATTACAATATAAATAATATGACGAAAAGTTAAAACGCATTATATTATTAATAGCCAATAAAACAGGAACAATAGAAAAATTATTTTAATCATGATTTCTAACTAATCCAATAAAAGAAATTTTAATTTATTAATCACGTGAAGCGAATTAAAAATGCATTAAATTAAAATGAATTAAAGTAAATATTTTCCCGAAACATTAAAAAAAACCTAAGCACTTTGTATAATTTTTAATTTTCTATTATTTGTTTTTACTTTGGCTTTGGCCTCTATTTGACGCTTGTGATTATTAACCTTCGTAGTGTTAATTACTTTCAAACTCATTAAAAATTGCAAAGCTTCTACTCTATGTTTGTAACAAGTATTATTTCTGTCAAACCAATCTGGAAAGTGATTATTTGTTATTTTTTCCACTACGTCGGTTAAGTTAGCAACTAATTTTTTTTTATGCCAAAGACTTGTACAGTGTTGTTGAAAACCAAAAAGCTGGCAAGTCACAATTTTATTAAATATTAAACTCGATCTTGTTAAATACGAAATTTCAGGAAGATTTTTATCGGAATGCTCATATTCTCTACATTGAAGGTAATATTCATAATCCGTTATTTCATTTTCTACCGGTTCCTTAAATACTTGTTTACACTCACAACATTTACTTTTTTGAATAGATTTTTTAGCCGTATAACCACTGAAAAAATTTATAGCATTTTTCTCGTACAAGTCTTTTTTTTCAAAGTCAATGAATGTACTCGAATTTACGGGTTGAAATGTCTCTATAAGTTCCGCGGCTTCTAAAAGTTCGAACATTTCTTGATCTATTTCTAAGTCTTTTTGTACAGTTTCTATACTAGGTATATACAATGCGGCAGCGGCTAACGATTCGGTACTTTCATTGTGTGAGTCCTTCTCATCCGGATTGATTAAAGAAATAGTTTCATCTATTTTAACATTCCCCCGTTGTCTAGTATGAATTAATGAAGTACACACAATGTATCTAATTGTTAAACGATAAGCTCTTCATGTCGGATTTGGATTGAATCCATTTCTCCCTCGAATCTTCGAATGAGTATGCCCAACGCTATCTTGATTACAGAGGCCAGTTGCTAACTCAAGAGATGGACATTCGCTTTTTACGTTTCTATACAATTCTAATAAAGCCGTCGCGGTCAAAGATAAACCCGTAAAACACGGTGGTCTCGTTTTTTTCCGATTTACTACTTTTATTCGCGTGTACAGTTCGCATTGTCCATTGTTTCGACGATTCTATAAAATCTACAAGACATTTTTCAATTTCTGTATTGCGATTTGAGATTGGACGCTTTTGAGTATTAACATTATTTATTTTATAGAAATTGCAGGCATCAATAACAGTGTCCATTTTCCTCACAAAATCTGCTAATTGTCTCCATGTTTCTGATATTAGTCCATTTCCAATGCCTTGCTCACCAGCTTTACCAGCAGTTTTTATCGCAGCTGCTACTCTTTTACTCAAACGTTGAAAAGCTAAACTGACTTTCATACTCTCAAAGGTACTAGGATTAAAGTGCTAGGTCTTTTAAAAAAGCTAATAAATTCGACGATTCGTTCGTTTTATCGATTTCGTACGTTCTTACTATATCACTAAAAGCCATAATGATATTATCAATATAAATATATCTATGAACTCTTAGTTGATAAAGTAATCGTTGTATGAGATGAGGCCAATCAAAAGCTGCGAAAACTAATTTTCCTTCATGATAAAAAAAAAGGCTTATCTACAGATACTTTTAAATTTTTATAAAACAATTTTACGTTATTTGAACCTTGATCGCACACGATAATTTTGACTAAAGCTCCTATTCTGAATAAAGCAGTTAATATTTTATGTAAAATTTCTAAAAAATTATTATTAAAATTATTAAGATTCTAATTTCGAAAAAAAATTTTTATTGTTTATTGTTGTAATTATTTCGAAATTTTAAGGCATTATAAGTATTTTGGAAAAAATTCAACTTCGATATCTTTATTAGTTTTTTAGATTAAAGCTAAAGTGCCGTTCGACCGTAAGTCCCCTGGAGCGCTACCGCAGCCTTACGCCGAGGCGTCTTCTTTTGATTAAGGCTAGGCTTTCCGATATGTCGGGCCCTTGAATTTTATGATTGATTTCGATAGCAAAAATCTTCAGGAACACGCAGGAGCAAGAATTTTTCATCAAAAAAATATACTTTTTGAGATATTAGCAATTGTTTAAACAAAAAGTTAATAACTTTTGAAAAAATATTTTTATTGTTTATTGTTCTATTTATTTCGAAATTTTAAGGCATTATAAGTATTTTCAAAAAAATCCGACTTCGATATCTTTATTAGTTTTTAAAATACAGCCGTTTGAAAACTTTTTATCATTTTTTTTTAATTGTTAATAACTTTTTGTATCGTCTTCAAAATTTGGGAAAAATCTCACTTTCCTATGTAGAACAATTGTACCAAATTAAAAAATAATCCGTAACCTAAGGGTTACAAGTCAATTGAAATAGCCAAGAATTACCCATATAATAGACCACATGGAAGATATGCGACATTGCAATAGCTCCGCTTTGCTTTTGTTGACCGTACATTTTTTAGATAAATTATTTAATATCTATTGTCATAGTTTTTAAATGATAATTTTTCGAACGGCTATTGATCTAGGATTTTTATTTATCACTCTGATAATTATGATTTTTTTTCATAATTTTCTTTATTGTGAGTTTGTTTAAAAATAGTAAAAAGTACACCTCCCCATAAGAACACATTTTAACATTAATATTAATATCTTTGGTTTGGAATTTTGAAAGGCTTTGAAATTTGAATCACGCTTTAGAGCATTTTTATGAACATATGGTTAATGTTTCAAGCAATTCTTAATTGTAGATCATTTCACAAAGGTATTTTTCACAAATTTCCCTTAATCTTATTTTTTTTTTATCGTACTTTTTTCATTCTAATAAATAATTAATAAAGAAACTTATATACCATCTTATTTTGAATCATAATGTTAGATAAACTCTTATGATTGTTTCATGCAATGATTGCTCAAATATATATTATTGGCCTGCTTCTTGTAAGTTTCAGTGAATCAAAAATTAAGAAGCTATTTATTAAATAGTACGAGGGGAATCAATAAGTCTTTACAAAATACAAAAGATGGCGCTAGTATCGCTTAAATTATGATGTTTTTGGCAAGTAATACTACTAACTAGATATCGTACAAATTTTCAGCTCGATTCATTAAGTCGCTTTTTTGTGAGCGTTGGTTGAATAAAAAGTTATTGGTTTATTTGAAAAATGGAAAAAAACAGAGTTTTGAGCGGTAATAAAACATTTTTATTTGAAAGGCCTTACACCAAAAGAAATCACAGTTGAGTTGAACGTCGTTCATGGCAAGTCTGCCTCTGTATTTAACACAATTTATTCAAACTAAATCTGACTTTAACAATATAAGGCTTCACGTAAAAATAAAATACTAATAAGTCAAATTTTTTGTTAAGTTATTACGAAAATGATAACAATAATATAAAGGCTACATAATCATATTTATCGAGGACATTTTTTACATACGTATTGAATTTCTTTTGTGCATTTTCCGCATACGATATTTTTACAATACATACAGCAATTACTGCTTCTATTTTTATTACAGTAGCCCACTTGGCAACTTTTTCGCACTCCCGATGTTGAAGGTGACCGATCTGAAACGTCTGAAATGTGACGAACGTTCTCCTTGTTTTTTCCAGCTAATTCATCGGCTAAAGAAAATATAAACTCCTTTCTGGATATTTTCGATCCGGTACACTCTTTGTATAATATTCACGCGTTTATCGCTGCCAAATCTAAAATATTATAAAAAACTTGGAGAGGCCATCGAAAACACCCTGCTTTCACACTATATTTGCGTGCCATCTGGTCCGCGACATCGACACCAAACTTTGTTTTATTATAAAATGTAATAGTTTCTGGAACACATTTTCTATTGTTTTCTATCTGTATATTTCTATGCTTGGTGCTTAGAAGAAGAACTTTTATTTTCGGTTTACTTTTATATACAGTAAGCGTGCAGTTGTCTGATTTATATAAATTTGATGAAAATAACGGCATTTTGTCCTTTGTTTCTTTCGCTGGTTTTGGTAGTTCTCTCTTATTCGAGCGGATGGTCCCAACCAAAGTTGTCTTTAGTTCAAGCAATTTTTTGGCCAGCGGGATGCTTGTAAAAAAATTGTCGGTCGTGATATTTCTTCCTCGATTTAAATACGGTTCGGCTAATTTCAACGTTACAAACTGGCCCAACGAATTTGAGCATCGAGTGTCATCTTTTCCCAAGTAAGGGAAACCATTCAAAATATATTTTGATTTAACGTCAACCGCTAACCAAAACTTAATGCCTAATTTATACGGCTTATTTGGCATGTATTGTGTAAATCTGCAACGGGCTTTAATTGGAAACAGTTGTTCATCCACTGTGATATTTTGATGTGGTTTATAACAAGCCTGGCTGTTACTTATAAATCTATTTCATACTTCAGAGATGAGTGCAAATTTATCGGTTTGTAACCTTTCGGATCGTTCGATTCTTTTATCAAATCGTATAAATCTTAGAATTTGCATAAATCTATCTCTGGTCATTGTATCTCGGAAAAAAGAAGGTCCCCATTTTTTGGACCATAGATAAGATACTTTCAATGCTCTTACTTCGTTCGCGCCCCGGGCATATAGTATTGCTAGAAAACTACGTAATTCGGAAACTGTAATTCTCCAGTCGACCTTCAAAACTCGACGTGCCTCGGTTTCGGTGCAGTCTTTTATATGTTTCATAATGTGAGCGTCAATTATCAATTCAAAAGCACTAGTTACACAACCCGACATAATATTTCTTTTTGTGTAACCAGTAGGCCCTACGATATCCTATGAACGGACTGCCTACCCCTAGATTTCCCTGCTTTCAGTCTCACCCACCGTGTCCCGTCAACTGCAATTTCAATTTCTTCCATTACATCTCTGGATGTACTTGGAATACTCGTCCTCTCATCCTCGGTGTCAGAACTAGAAATAATCCGCCTCCTTTTCTTGTTACGACGTATATTGAAGAGGTTTTCTTCTTCACTATCCGAAGATCCTTCCATTTCTGCAGTTTCAGTGGATTCAGAATCTTTACTGTAATCATCACTTTCACCTAATTCATATTGATCTTCTGCGTAGGACACCTCAGAACAATCCTCATTAATGTTGGTAATTTTTGTCAATTTCTTATTATATCGCGTGTTTCTACTCATGATTGCTAGAAAAGGGTGATCGGTGAAAGTAAAAAATACCGTGCAAAATTCAATTACCCTATTGTAAAAACTAACAATAAGCGGGTGACTACAATAACCAAAACTTTTGCACACTGTCTTCGAAAAATGTTCTTACCACTGTCACTGCAGCGACTATACTGAAGACAGCAGGGATTATCGCAGATTCATATCGCAGCCTAACGTCGGCTACCGCAGGCTGTGAAAGTTCCTTGTGTGTGTTGTTTATGTTTGCACCAACACATGAACTGAATATCTTTTCGATACGACATTTAGTCTGCTGCACGCTTTGAGTTTCGAATAACGCGAGGATTTGACACCCGGGCTACACAATTCGTTATCGAGGCGCTATTGAGATTATGAGTTGGGGGGCGGGGGGTCTTAGACCTTTCTTTCAGTCTTATATTTGCTATTGGAGGTATAATTTTACAAGCGAAGCAAATATATAAGGATTGTTGACGTAATCAGCTAACCCGTCAAATTGACGGGTTCCGTAGAAATAGGTATACAAGATACAATTATCAAAATTTATAAAGCTTAGGAAAATAATAATTGTGCGTATAAACTCTTTTAATGAAATTATAAATTTACGATGCAAAATAGTTAAGATTAATGCTATGGTTTTTTGCGTGTTTCATTTCAAAGTTTGAAATCCGTCAAATTGACGGGTCCCGTAAACCTAGTGTTAAGACTGTTTATAACTGGGTAAATGAATTCAAACGCGGCCGTACAACAACAAAAGATGAACCTCGTTCAGGACGCCCCGTAGAGGTGAGTACGCCCGAAATGGTCAATAAAATCCACGATATGCATGAAAAATTTAGGATGAAAAAAATATCACCAAGATGGCTGCCGCGGTTGCTCACTGTTGAAAACAAACGAACCCACGTGCTCACCTCTGAGGCTATTTTGGCACGCATACGTCGTAATCCGGAAGACTTTTAGAGTTGACTCGTAACTGTAGACGAAACATAGGTTCACCGCTACACTCCTGAAACCAAAGAACAGTCCAAGCAATGGATTACCGCAGGAGAACCAGCCCCAAAGAAGGCAAAGACAGTAAAGTTAGCTGGCAAGATTATGGCCACGGTTTTCTGGGATGCGTATGAAATCATCTACATCGACTACTTGGAAAAGGGCCAAACGATCACTGGATAATATTATGCGTCATTATTAAGTCAGCTAAAAGAAAAAATCAGAGAAAAACGTCCTCACTTGAACAAAAAAAAATGCCTCTTTCTTCAAGACAATGCTCGAGTTCACACGTGTGCAGTTTTGATGGCAAAAATTAACAATTTAAAGTTCGAATTAATTGACCATCCACCATATTCGCCTGATTTGGCTCCCAGTGACTTTTTGTTATTTCCTAACCTCAAAAAATGGCTTGCCGGACAACGATTCACGTCGAATGAAGAAGTCATCGCCGAAACAAATGCCTATTTTGAGGGTTTTTAGAAATCATATTTTTCTGATGGATTAAAAAAACTGGAAGGCCGTTTAATAAAATGTATGGACCTTCAAGCAGATTAGTTAAAAAATAAAAAAAATATTACATACGCAAAACTTTTTTTTCCTTCTTTTTGTAAATACTTATTGACTCCCCCTCGTAATAAAGTAAGCTTCCAAAAAGCAACAAAGAATATAATAAACAATATTACGCAAATAATGATGAAAATACTTTGAAACTAGGGAGAGTTGCTTGGTTAGGAATTGAAATTGGAATAGAACGGACAAAAGAGATCATCGACAATTACGGGGAAATCGGTACTTATAAATAAACAATCTTCATGAATGGATCTTCGACATAAAGTATAATGAACTTCTACGCTCTTGGAATGTGAATTCATATACAATGTGCATGTATTTCTCATTGAATCAAATTGACATACTAATAATTGTGATACTTCGTCTATGTATCTATCAGGATTAAATTTCAAATGGAACTGTATGCCCTCAGCTATACATTTTATATAATACATGATGTACGAGGGTGGTCCGATAAGTACTTAGCCTCACCGCCCGATGGCGCCACTCTCGTAAAAGAAATATTCTATCACGTAGTACAACCTTCTCGATGGTTACTGTCAAGATTTCAGCCGGATCTGAGTAGTAGTTTATTTTTGAGAGCGTGTGAAAACAAGGGTGTCCGTTGATTTTTGAAAAATGGAAAAATAGCAGTGTCAGTCGGTGATTCGATTCTTGTTTTTGGAAGGGAAATCGCGCAGCGAAATCAAAAAGCGCTTGGATGCTATGTACGGTGACTCTTCTCCTTCGATGGCGACCGTCAGAAAATGGTTTAACGGGTTTCAACGTGGTCGTACGTCGATTTTTGAAGAACCATGTCCACGTGCTCCGAAAACGGCTACCACGGAGGATAACGTGACAAAAATTCACGATCTCGTATTGGCAGATCGACGATTGAAGGTGCACAAGATAGCTAAGATCGTAGGCATCTCAAAAGACTACGTGGGTCATGTCCTGCATGAAATTTTTGGCATAAGAAAGCTGTCGGTGCGATAGGTGCCGCGTTTGCTCACTCCGGACATCAAGCGCAACCGTGAGACAACTTCAGAGCAATGTCTGACGCTGTTTAAGCGCAATCCGAAGGAGTTTCTGCATCGTTTCGTGACAGTCGACGAAACATGGTTCCACTGGTATACACCGGAGACCAAGGAACAGTCAAAACAGTGAACTTTACCCGGCGAAAGTGCTCCGAAGAAGGCGAAGACTGCCCCATCGGCCTTAAAGGTGATGGCCACCGTTTTCTGGTATTCACAAGGTGTGATCTACATCGACTACCTGGAGAGGAGCAAAACGGTCACAGGGCTGTACTATGCCGCATTATTGGGCCGATTCGACGTCGAATTGCAGAAAAAACGGCCCCATTTGGCGAAGAAAAAAGTGCTCTTCCACCATGACAACGCACCGGCTCAGACCTCCGCCGTCGCCATGGCCAAATTGGTCGAATTCGGCTACGAACTGCTGCCCCATCCACCGTATTCTTCAGATTTAGCCCCGTACGACTTCTTTTTGTTTCCAAACTTGAAAAAGTCACTCGCCGGGCAGAAATTTGAGTCGAATGAGGAGGTAATCGCTGCCACGGAAGCCTACTTTTCAGACCTCGAGGAAACGTATTTTTCAGATGGGTTAAAGAAGTTGGAGCGTCGCTGGGCCAAGTGTATCGAACTAAAAGGAGACTATGTTGAAAAATAAAACGCCACTTTTCCAAAATTTTCGTTTTTCTTTTGTAGGCTTATCGGACCACCCTCGTATATGCCACATTTATATGAATTGTGTTGTACGTGCCGCCTACTAGTTAGACGAGTTTTTCTCCGTGTTATTCTGTTCAATGAATTGAGATTTTTATTATCAAGATTTTGTAAATATTTGTCGAAACAGGCATGTACCTAGATTGTTCTCTCAGACCCTCCTCCTCGATCTGTTTGTAGTGCATCAACGTGGGTTCTAGTTCTTTTATCTATATCAAGTACTTATAACGACGAATGGTTATCGTGTAATAAAGGTATAAATATTTTGCCACTGAAATTTCCGTGCAAATTGTACATAGGCCAAGCATTAGACTTCACTCGTTGTGAAAAAGCAAACAAATACTGAGTTGAATCTGTCGGTACTACACTAACATTTTCCCGTAATAATTGACGCTCGTAATATGCAGCAAATGAATCAATGACGTCTCCGTCAATCCAACCTTCAGGTGCTTTTCTTAGTTGCAGAATTCGAAATTCGTTAGAGTAAAGCTTTGCTCCTCTATCCCTCATGTCTTGCACTAAAGATATCTCCTTTCGAGAATAACACCCAACACAGTGCAAATCTCGACATTTCGTATAATAATAAGAAAAGTTATTCATCAAATTATTATCTAATATATTTATATGCACATTATTATTACTTTATGTTGCAGTAGCAAATTTCTCGTGTGACAACTCGGAACCATCAATAATCTTCATTTGGCTAGAAATAAAATTTATTATAAATAAATCGAATTCATGTCAACTTGTTATTTATAAAAGGGTATGTATATGAGTATTCTTCAAAGGTTCAACCTCGAATTAGTGGGGGTCTTAAACCTTTTTCAGCTTTTCACAAATTTTGTTAACAACGTAAATGTATAAAGTTTATTTCAAACTAGTAATTCAAACTAGGAACGATTCAAAAGTTTCAATGTGTGATATTTCCTGTATAATTATAATCTTATGGAAATTATCATCACTTGTACAGTTTAGTAAACTCGAATCTTTGATCCAAGCTAAAACTGGCGAGAGCTTTTGCCCTGAAGTGTATCACTTCTTTGCAGACCCTTATACTGAGCGTATTTGTGTGATCGTTAATGTGTATAACCGTGCTATTGTGGGCTTTCGCATTGGATATTTTGCGATTGTGTGTGATTAGTTTCGCGGTTTCCCAATTTTTCATGATAAATTTCTTCATTTTCCCCCTCATATTAAACTTTTGAAACTTGAAATTGCTTTACCGGAATAGTAACTAATTCGTTGTTGTTCACGTTTTTGAATACGGCAACATAGCTATTTACGTCTTCTTCATAGCCATCAGTATCAAATAAATCATTTTCTAAATAAATATTATTCATTATTTTATCACGCAAACCTTCGCATGCTATATCATACCTATTTTCTGTAACCTTTCGGCGTTTGGAAGTTCTTCGTTTCTCATTCCATTGCTATCGATTGAGCAATCGCTAGATTCATCAGAATCAACATAGAAAGAACCATATATTTCAACTCTTAACATCTCATCAATAACTAATTCATCATCACTGTATGAATATTTAAAAATATACATATTATCTTGTATTTGAAAAAAACTTTATTGAATCTTGTGAGATGGTTATACCTCGATATTCAATGAACTTGTAATTACTTTTTTCAATTTGTCTCTTTTTTTGTATCGATCTTGCTTTACCGCCCGCCATAGCGTCAATCATCTCTTCTATGGGTATAAAT